GAGACAACTCTGCGCCAGTGAGTAGAACAAGAACAATTCTTTAAATTATTTAAAATATCTTAAAAACAAGTGTTTGGGATCTTTACAGTTAGTTTTAAGTTGAAGCAGAGTGAACTTGTATTTGAAACAGTGAAGTTCCAGAATTTCATAAATTCTGCAAAAGCCTGCAATAGTTTTCAATTTGGGCAAAATCTATTTTTTATTATTTCAATAAACCAAATCACTAGGTCATCATTGTTCAAATGTTATTGTCAAGCATGTATGCGAACACAGTTGATGCATTCAGATACAACTTGTGTTCCAAATGTCCTTACATAGAGTAATACAATGTATAACTCCTTTGCCTGGAATCATTTAAACTTTGTTTTGAGTGATAATTATTTCCCATGTCTCTTACTCTTTGTTTGCCCCCAAGCTCACTGGCTGTTCATTAAGTAATTGAACCAGTTTGACACAGACAGCCCCTAAAAGCCCCGGTCTTAGTATATCTAGCTCTTTTATAATATAAAATATTTTAAATGTGAAAAATCCTGCGGAAGATTGAGTACTCTCTCATTCCTCTGAAATTATTCTCCTAGAAGCAGTAATTGATCATTCTCTTTGCACAGCAACATATGGGAGGCTTTCCATTTTGCTTCAGATGCCATTAAGAAGGTTGGTTTGGGTTTTTCAGGTAGATTTAGTTGTTGAAGAAGAATTGATAGTCTGGCGATGATCTTAGCAAGGCTTCTTTGCTGTGCAGTACTCTGTGCTAATTTTTTTTGAACCTTCTTGACCCTAGAATGAGGTTAGCAGAGAATGTGAACCTTGAACTCAAGGCTTGATTTGAATAGGAATGAGGTTTCAAAAATGTATTTACTTGCTACTGTATGGAAATACTCTTGTTTAGTAAAAAAATAAGCCCTCAGAATATATCTCTCTGTACAAAAAAGAGCCTTAAGGCCTCAGACTTATGGATAATAATTATCTGTATAATAATTGTCTGTAAAGACAATTACACAGAGAAACCTTTGTAGTCACATTCCAATAGAACCAGAAAAAAAGGCAAACTTAGGAAAACTTGGAATTAGAGAAGGCTTTGTAAAGAAGTGGAAAGAAATGGTGTCTTTTGTTAGAACCCACGAATCTATAAAAGACAAGTCAGACTGCCCACTCATTGCAAAATTTGGTTTTGTTCAAATGAACTGAAAAACTGACGTAAGACTAGAAATGTGTAGCTGAAGATGAAAATTCTTTACTCCATAGTACTATTCAGCTGCCTTCAAGTATTCCCACATATACCAAATTACAAGCAGGTCAAGAAAGCACCCAAATACCAGTCTTTAAAGTCTCCCTTCTGCACTTTTTATTCATATTGAGTAGAACTGGTGTGAATAGTCACATTTAAGGCATGAATGAGTTGGATTCCTCTACTCCAAAAATTAGAGAACATCAAAAGAAGCTAGTAGGATGCTGGATAGAGGTTCTTCTTACAACAGGTAGTAAGTAGATTACTGCAGCTCCTTGCCGTAGAATTTTGTGGGTGCTAAATATAGAGATTGTAGGAAAGCCTGGACAAATGAATGAAAGGGAAATATTGGTTGTTGACAAATCTGGAGCAGCAAATCCCTGATCTGAAAGTCATTGGAAGCTAGTGGATGCTAAGGTAGAAGTATGACTTCTACACCCTTGTGCTTCATTTGATATCACTTGTGCCACTGTCAGAAATGGAATTCTGGGATTTAGTCTGTTCCAGTGTCTTCACAGTTTTAAGAAGCTCATGAAGGCATGCATACAACAAAAATTCCTTTTTGTAAAACATTTTGAAAATTGTTTTGAACTGATATGAAAATCGCGGTTGGTTTGATAGTTCTGAAAAGTCCTTTTTTCATCAGCTGTATTTTCATGAAATGCTTTAATCTTAGTTTTAGTGATGCTTATTACATAAAATAAAAACAGGCAAACAGTTATTTTGGAATGAAATTGAGGATGTTTTGTTCTGATCACATGGAACAGTTTAACATTGTCAGAATGTTTTTCATGTCGTTTTTTTAAATTAATCCAATGCCATCACCTGAATTTTGCAAAACATTTAAATTTTGACTGAATATAATTGTATCAGAGTTTTTTTCCCATCCATGCATATGGTATGCAACAGTTCAATGACCAGACAGAAACAGAGATATGTAGGACAAAAAGGGGATTTAGGCTAAAGGTCCTTAACAGTGATGCGTCTCTGGATTAGATAAGTCACCCAGCTAGAGCAATGAAACCTGACCATGACATGCAGCCGGTAATGTTCTTTATTCCTTCAGTGGGATTTAATGAAAAGTCCATCTTTAAAACATTGTTTATTTACAATTCGCAAACCTTCTCTTTATTGATGTTTCCTTTTCTTTTAAATTTAACTTGTTTACCTCCTTGTATATGTACTGTTAAAAAAAGCAATGTATGATGTGGTCTGCTCTTGAGAAATCTTTGCAAAACTGTAGCTTGATCGGATGAGGACAGGCAGACTTTTCCATCTTACTGGTTCTGCTTGCAAGGCTGAATATTTAGAAAGCAAAATCACTATGAATACAGAGACTTATGAATAAATGTTTAATGGTAGCAAAGACAGCTTTGTTTAGTTATTTAGCTGGAGTCAGAGCAACCCACGTAATATTTTAAAATAAGAATACTGAGTCATTCAACATTTGGATGGTGAATACAGCAATTCAGGGAACGTCTATTTGCTCTTTATTTTACACCAACATGCTTTATCACTAGGGATCTCTAGATTGTCTAATCCTGAGAAAATGAATGCATGTACACGCCTATGTAGGACTGCATATACTGTCACCCTTCTGTTGTTCAGGATAACAGAATAGACTCATAGAATCATAGAATGGTTTGAGTTAGAAGGGACCTTAAAGATCATCTAGTTCCAACCCCCCTGCTATGGGCAGGGACACCCTCCACTAGACCACGTTGCCCAAAGTCCCATCCAACCTGGCCTTCAACACTGCCAGGGATGGGGCATCCACAGCCTCTCTGGGCAACCTGTGCCAGTGCCTCACCAGGGGCATCCAGGGGATGGACTGGGTTATGGAAAAAATGGCAATGCGACTTACTTTGAACCTATACTGCTTTTTGCACAACCAGCTCAGGTGTTGCTGCACTCCATTTCTGGGATGTCTTACTTGCTTAAGTGTACTATCATGCAAATGCCCAGGGTTGTTCTGAGTCCCAGAGCAGTGTGTTCATGTGCTACTGTGCTTAAGCACAAGAATTAGGAGCTTTGGGATGTGTAGCAAAGAGGCATCTAAGTGGCTCCACATGGACCCAAGTTGAATTTGACATAGCCAGGGACACAGACTTGTTGGACTCAGCATAGACCTTTGTGGAGCCAAACCGAGGGTCCAAAAGCTGCCTTCACGCTGCACTTCAGCTGTCTAAGGTGTTTAGCGTGGAGCCAGCTCATGTGTGTCTATAGTATCTGTAGTACAGCATATTAACAAACCAGCTAATCTGCTGGCAGGTAAGAAGAATTCCTATGTGTATATGAAAGTATTCCTTTGTTTAAGATATAATAGTTGACATACAAGAAAAAAAATGATGCAAAACCGAAGATGCATATATGTAGTTAATTTTAACAGCTTTAGAAGTGATGCAGTTTTAAGAAAATCTTTAAATACACTCCTCTGTTCTAGTGTTAAAATGATGCCACTGGAAATAATAATGGGAGCAAAACCAAAGAGAGTTCTATCTCTAGCAGTTCCTCAATTTTTTTAGCATGTGGGGTTAATTTAATGGGATGTTCTGTTCCATTCCCCTCTCTATTCAGTATGCACATAAATAAGGCATGGAAAAAGAATAGAAATAGTAACAGAAGAAAGCTTCGTGTCTCTAGACCCCTTTGTTCAGTTCAAGCCGTAAAGGAGACAATTGGTTTTACCATTGAGTCCTAATTAGTATATTGTTTCTGAGTACCTAGTGGCCATTATTTTTACCAAATGCGTGTGTTCTTGTAGATTAAATTCTTGTCCAAACCATGTTCCCAGACCTGTAGTGGGAATTGTCTTTTCTGCCTAATGTTGCCGTGTGTTGAGCAAGCTTTTCACCATCCTTAAACGGTCATTGCCTGTGGATAATATGGATAAGAGAGGGCATATTCTAAAGTAAAATAAAACTGGAGAAGAAGATAAATATTATTTGTGGCTGAGCTCCAGTGTAAGTAATACGCTATGGAAGACCTTGTCCCAGATAAAATCTGAGCACCAGACTAGTGGGTTAAGAGGAATTACTCAGTTTTGAGAAGCTGAGCTGTCTTTCACCTGACTCTTGATACCTCCTTTGCTAGAAAAAAGTATCAGGAGGCACCATTGGGCAAAATCAGGAATTTAGTTGAGAAGATGGGGATAATCCAACAAATGCTTGCAGCATTTAACCTTGAACAGCTTGCTTAATCCACATAATGCCTGATAGTTCGGACAAGTTGGTTAGAACACAAGCCTTTCACTGTTCAAGTTAGTGTATTTGTGGCTAGCTGCTCAAAGTTGATATCCGTTTCTCTGTCTAATCTGAGTGCTTGAATCAAGGTAGCTTTTCTTGCTGATGGCTCCATTTTGCGCTGATCTTACAACTAACAGTCATTTTGTACATTACTCTTGTTTTGAAATAGTTGCAGTTACAGATGTTTGACATTGTTTGTGCTACCTCATGGGCCAATCGAGACAAATGCTGTGAGCTTCCTGGCTTGGTAAGAAACCTCCTTCAATAACTGTAGAATTTACCTTTTACATTCCCCTTTACTGAGGGAAATGTTTTAAATGGAAATGGATGGTTAAGAGTTTTTTAAAAAGCCCAGGACTGCTTTGATTACTTCTCCTATTGCAAGTCAATGAGATGTATGTTTCTAAATCGAGTAGGTGCTTTTGAGGCATCCACACAGTACTATGTCTTTGACTCATAAAATTCTTAACTTCTGAATCGAAGTTTGGGACATCATTCTCTTCCTATCTTGATCTTTCCTTAGAGAGATGAGGAAAATTGCCCTGCCCTTCCTCATGCTTGTTCCTGTTCAGAAGCTAATAAGGGTCCCCTTGGGCCTCCTGGACCACCGGTAAGGTTTTATTCAGGTTTGTAGTCAACTGTACCAAATAGTCCACTGACCACCTTTATACCAAGACATGTGAATATACTGCCATTGTATAACTAATAATTACGGGTTTAAGTATTGGCAAAGAGATAAAATTCCATTCAATTTATAGCAAAGATGCCAAGTAATATGCTGTAAAAAACCTCACCGAATAAGTCAGTCAAATTTTGAATGGTTTAATCAAGACCTGAAGCAGGGTAATCTTTAGACTTTGAATCCTGTTACGTGTCTGTAGCATTAGTAGATATGTCATAGTTAGTGCCATTTATTTTCAAATTTTTAATCACCTGCAATCTGTCTACTCTAGCACGTGTATCTCAAATGTGGCTTGGAGTTTAGCCTTCTGAAATGATTGGTTTACAGTATTCTTATGAATTAAAGATATGGAGTATGACAATGCCACTTGTGTGATAAATGATGAAAGAAGACTTTGCTTTCTTAAAAGCCCTACCTAAGTACAATATGTATTGGAAAGCAGGACTGAAAGTGCTGGTTCTTCTGAGTTCTTCAAGGCAGAGAGGTACTCAAAAGCGATGAAGGGAAGAGAGGATGAAGTGAACTGGCTTTGGTGAAAGTTGAATTAAAACCTTTTCTGCCAGTGAATGATGAAATACACACTGTCACAACTTTTACCTATACTTTGTGGCGTTAGTTTGATAGCACTCATCTAAGTGTTTACTGTGTAAATGTTAAGTCAGTGTATATCTAAGTTCATTGCATAACCAGTGGAACTAGATAGTCTCTTCTACAAGGCAATTATTTAACTTTCCTTCCATCTCATTGTAGTGTCTTAGAAAGATGGGATAAATCTCCTTTCACTTTATTGGCTTATGGAAGAACTCAGATAATGATAGATCAGACTAGACAACTGAGATATGGGTCACTAAAATTAGGTAATTCAATCTCAAATAGCAAGGCTGATTTTTAGCAGTTTAGAAAAGTTGTAGGCTGTGTTTGCAATGTTCTATTATTGGTTTGGTTTATTGAGAATCCTAACTGAGATGTTTGTAGAATGGTCATGTGTTTTTTATTTTACTAGACTGATAATTTTGATTGGCATCTTAGGGCTGCTTGCTAAGTTAGCTTGAGATGAGGCCCTCTTGTGAAGAAGTTTGAACTGCGTGTTTCTCTGCTCCTGCTGTGTTCTGGATGCTCCAAAAGCATGTTCTGAAGAGAAAGAGTCAGTGAAGAATGCAAAGGAAAATACATTTCTGAAAAGCTTAAAGTACACAAATTGCATGAGATAATGTTCAACAACAAAATTAACTTGCACATAAGATGATCACATAGTAGATCCTAGCAGATATTTATCCTAGAAACAACTCAGAGGTTAGTCTTTCTGCAAGAACTGTTCTTCAAGCTCTGTTACAAAAACTTGAAAAGGAACTTGGGAGCAAATTCAATGAAGAGGTGTATCTTGAACAAGGAAAAAAAAATATTCTTTTCCACTATTTGAATGTCAGTTAGAAATCAAGTATGAATTAAGATTTTAATTTCTGTATATAGGTATCCAATTTGTGTTCTGTGAAAGAGACAATGGGATAATTCACACAAAAATGCAACTGAATTTGAGTAGTTTGACCACATTTCATGGTAAAATGAAAAAGTTTAAAAATTATTTGACTGGAAGGATGTGTGTTACTACAGTTCAAAACATATACAGATCAGGAATTGCTAAAGCTTAACCCAGCAGAAAAATGATGTACTTCTATTTATTACATTTAGGATTAACAGTATTTTGAGTAGCATAGTGCCACACAAGAGGAGGCTTAAAATCAAGCAGAAAAAATCACTGCCTAGGCAGGGGAGTATGTGATTCTGGAACTCAACCTCTTATAAGTGATACTTTTTTGCCAGACTGTTAGATGGCATAGCTCTGGAAAAAAGTAAGAGGCCTAAGGAAAAAGCAGAGCAAAAGAATAAAGTCAGCGTTTATCTCTGCGCCAACTAAAAGTCAGAAAGTCACATGTGCTATGTCTGGGCAGTTCTGCTCCAAGTCGTTAAAATGTCATGTGACTTTTCTCTAAGCCAAGGATTTTTCTGTTTAAGGGATCAGGATTCTACCATGTTGCCAGTTTTAGACATTAGGCTAAAAAGACTCCAAATAAAAGGCTTACATTTGTTGGGGATAGTAGCTCTGGAAATATTTTTTTAAGCTCTTTTAGGAAGTGGGTCATTTTGGGTAAGACAAAGTGTCGTTTAGAGTTAAGATTATCTGGCAGTTTTCATTATGGGATACCGGTTTTATGGCCTCATCTTTGGCAGAATTTGATCATGGTGTCTGAAGTTCCCCATGCAAAATAAAAGTAAGATATCACACAAACCTGATGCCTGCATTTTGAAAGGAGTGCTGCAGAACTGGAGAAGGTGAGGAAGAAAACAAAAATTATTGGAGTATTGGAGAAGATTAATTGCAAAGACAAGCTTTCAGTGCTTCATAGCTTTTAACTATTAAAAAGAAATAAGGATGTGGCTTGATAAGAGTTGATTAAGAACTGTTTTGGGGGGAAAGCACTGGCTATTAGGAAGTTATTTAAAATAAGAGAAAAAGGCATAACAGGAATTCTTGGCTGGAAGTAGAAGCCAAAGAACAGAAAAATTTGTAATTAGTCACACAAGCTTAGTAGTGCTGGGGAATAACCACCAAAACAAGTTTATGAGAAAAATGAGGGAGGCTCTTGTGATGTTTTTGTCTTAAATCAATGCCTTTCTGGAACTTGTGCTTTTACCAGCCAAAGGGTACTGGGTTCAAAATATGGGTAAGTGTCCCAAACTCAGTGTCAGTCTTAGAGCATATGATTTAATTGGCTCAGCATCAGGCTATTTTTAGTTATATATTCTTACTTAGTAAAAATGTAATCTGTTTCTGAGAACAAAATGGGAGACAACTGTGTGATTTTGTTTATTTAAAAAGTTACAGTTATTTTGCTGAGTATTTGCAGAGGAATTTTTAATCTGAAAGAGAGTTAGGAAGAAAAGCAGAGGCAGAAGGAGCTACTGGGCTGGAATGCAGAAATGTGAGGACCTGGAATTTGGGAACTGGCAACTGGAACGTGGTTCTGTGGACAGTGTGGGATTGAGATTATAGGATCAGAGCTGACAGTGATGGAATGGGTCGTGGCCATAGAGCTGTGGGATGGAAGTGAGGAGACTTAAGGAGCTGGGACAAGGAGTAGAAAACTTCTCTGTCATCACACGTATGAAGACTGTATCATGATACCTTCACTGAAGAGCAATAGTACTGTGGTACTTCCAGATGTTTCTGTTTGCATTCCTATTTAAAGTCTCATAGATACTACATATGCATTTACTCTGATAAACATATTTTCTATTTTTATGTCTTCACCGTAACTGCTGTTATTTTTATAAGTACTTATTGTAGCCTCTAAAGAACGCTATTCAGTTATGGTGCCTAGTTGTACAAGGTCCTTTTTGAGTACAAAGAAGGGCAGAATTCCTGTAAAGCTCATATCCCAAGAGATTAAGCAATAGACTTAGGTGGGGGAAGAGGGAAACTGATCTGAAAAAAAAAAATAAATAAAAAAAAATCTTTATTTATGCTGTCCTAGAGGACAAAACACATGCAGCATGTATATGCAAAACACATTCATGGCAGCCATCCATAGATCTATGCAACTCCAGTGTCTCAGATGATATTAATAAAAAAGGCAACAGTTGATTAATAAATGATTAACAGATGTAGGCACAGCTGAAGAAAGCAAAAAAGAGAAAAATGGGCAAAAGAGTATTTTACTTAAGAGTAGCTCTGAATTAAACCATGGTAAGTCTAGTAGATGCTGGAGTTGTCCTTGCTGAAAAATATTCCTGAGTCATTGTAAACTCAGGCTTCAACAATGTGGTGATTTTGGTGAGAACAGACAGATGTGCAGAAGATTTCAACAACTGGAAGGGAACCCATGACCACATGTTGTAGGCATTTCTGTTCCTGTTGTAGCTTTCAGTGTTATTTTGATGCTTACGTGGTGTGCATTCTTGGCTCTAGAAAGTAGTCACATCTGTGTTTAAATTTGTTCTTGTATATGGCCACACTTAAGTATGTTCTTAGTTTAATTGCTCCAGTGGAAGGATATGGACAGGATATTCACTGATACCTGAGCACTGATTCAGGAACAAGAAAAAACAGTTTGGGCTTCTCTGGATTTTGTTTTTGTTTATTTGAGAGTTTTGGTTTTCAGCAAGTCCCATGCTTGTTCTTCACAGGGTGGTCCAGGTGTCAGAGGTGCCAAAGGTCATCGTGGCGATCCAGGTCCAAAGGTACTTTGTGCAGCACTTTACAGTTGACAGATGCGCAGGTTCTTCGTTTATCTCTGCTGCATGTAAACCTTGTAATGAATTCCAGATTGCCTCTGATGTCGCTGAGGAAAAAGCATAGTGAAATGCCATTGGCATTTGGTGTGTCTTTTTTCATAACAATTCCTTGTCCTGTTTGTTCCTTGATAAAAGATAAAATTCAGAATGCTGCTGTCACAGCATAAATCTTCATTTTTTTGTATTTATAAAGGAACTAGGCAGTTTTAAATTGAACCCTAACGGCTCAATCAAATGTTAACCCACATTTCAGATGTTTTTGAGTCTATTGGTATTTAATTCTTCAAACAGAAGCTGCCTTTGTCCATATGATAACTGTTTAACTTATGTCCTGTGCTACTTTAGGGACCAGATGGACCTCGAGGTGAAATTGGTGTTCCTGGACCACAAGGACCTCCAGGACCACAAGGACCCAGTGGACTTTCTATTCAAGGGCTTCCAGTAAGACTTATAAAATCAATAGGGTTCTTTCTGTGATGTTTTGAACAGCACATATCTTACACTAGACCAAAATATCTTCTGGTGTCCCAATCAGAATCTGAATTTTGATATTTGAGGTGAAATCACAGATTTGTATTTAACCTGTAGTGGACGTGGTTCAATGCCAACATTCCTGTTTGTATTTGGATCTGAACTTTCAGTTAGCTGAAGAGATTTGATTGCAGGTTGAATATGATCCAGGTATTAGCATCTAAGCCTGGAGATAAGTGAAAAAAATTGCAATGGGGGCTGTAACATGGCTCCAAACCAAAATGTTAATATTTTATCTTTTTCTGGTTGTAGTATTGCTCATCGCAGATCAGTTCTGACTTGAAAGGTATACCCAAGCAGGAACACCATATTCCCTGCCAAAATTAAGCAATAGTATTCACTACACTTACAGAGTCTATCATCAGAGGAGATAATTAAGCCTGGAGTTTGGAATGTTGTTGTGAAATAAGTCTCAGAATTTCATCATAAAGACACATCAGTAGAATAATGAACCAGCAGCACTAATCTTGTTTCATATACATCACTGGTAGATGGCTACACATAAGCCTTGAAAGGTAGTAGATGTCTATCTTTTTCTGCTAGACTTTTTTTCATAATTTACTACAGTATAATACACTTCTGTTCACCCTGTCTATATGATACTGCTCTACTGTATAATTAAGTGATTTACCAAAATTATATATTGTTGATGATGCTGTCATCAGAGAATAATAGAGAATACATTAATTGTAAGAATAGTTACTTGATAGAGAAATTGTATTTCTGCATAAAATGTAATTAAAATTAGTTTATTATCTAGAAAAGTATATCTTTGTCACGCATACATACTGTAGAAACACATTAGTTTCCATAGAAATCCATTGCTTTCATCGTCATAGGAAAGACTTCTGAGGGCTGAAGACAAACAGATTCCTTTGAGGAAAATTAAAAATAACTAGCTTTTTAGTAACATAATGGCTACAGTTTTGTCAGATTAATTCTGAAGTCTTTTAAAATTGGTTTTATTTTCTTTTCTATATTTGTAAATCTTCATTTACAAATTTGCAAATAGAATCTGTAGGTTTGCTTTCAGCAGGTAAAAGTCTGTTTTCTTATTGGTTGCTTGGCTGTTTTTTTCTAAAGAAGCTGAAAGAAACTATTAAAAATAGGAAACTAACCATGTATTACTATGTGTGATTCTTAACTTGCAGGGGCCACCAGGTGAAAAGGGAGAGAAGGGAGATCTTGGTTTTCCTGGCCTGCAGGTATTCCCTAAGTCATTGTTTAACCTGTCACTTACTAACTAAGTTTGAATGTTGAGTTGACATCATTGTGAATTTAGGGCATGTATTCAAAACCACTGAGAAGCGTGTTGTTGGGGTGAATTTGAATGGAGATTTAGAATCAGGAATCTAGGGTATGCTGGTGCGCAGTGACCAAATCGTTCAGGGCCTGAAGAACCGGTTACTTTCTTGACCTTGTTAAACACTGAAATTGCGTCTCTATAGACTGAGAAACGACCCACTCTTCGATTTCTGCTTACACAGTGAATAATTGGCATTTGCTTGTTTTCACCTTAAACCCATTAAATTCCCTCTGGAATTATCTATGAGGACAGATCAGGCACTTAATCGTTTTGATGCCATCTTGCACAAGATCGGCAACTTAAAAAGCTGTAGTATTCAGTGAATCTTACTCAGTTTGGTGTCTGGAGATTGCATTCCAATTCATTGTTGCTTTCCAGGATGATTTGCTTTTCCCTTTTCAGATGCCCCTCTTCTGCTCATTATATCCCTCCAGTATTTGTTGGTTGTTACCAGATTCCCCTCTCTTGTTCATATATATATATATGTGCTAGGGATAGTAAACTCATACAGCCTTTCCTCACAAATCAGTTCTGTTAGCTTTCTGACAACTCCAGTACTGGTCCCAGAGTCAGAGAGTGACAGTTCACCTGAACAACGGGGAACTGCTGGACGTAACTTGCAATCCTGCTTAGGCAGGATGTCCCCTTTGATATTGCTGCACTGACTTCAAACATATGGTAACAGACTCCATTTTAGCAATGAGAGAGAGAAAGAGCAGTTGTATTTTTAGGCTGAGGTTCTGATGTCATGCTGTGGAGTTACGCTGACACGACACTGGAATGATGTAGGAAATCAAGCTTTTTTCAGCTTAGTGGCACAGGAAGCCTGAGTTGATGAAATTGTCAGTGTTCTTGAGAGAGGACTGTAGTGAGGGTGTATGACGGCTGTGCATTTTAACAGTGTGTGTTTAACCATCTCTCATTTCACAACAATACCTTCTTTACTGAATCTCTTCTATGACCCCACCCATTATTGAACCCCCTAGTTCCATTTCTCCAAACATTTATCCAAAAACATGTCATACTGTTTCACTGGAAAGTGATTTAGTTGGATTCTGTTAACTTGATCTCATCATTTGCCCTTCCTTTATAATGCTCAGGGTGTCCCAGGAGCATCAGGTTCACCTGGAAGAGATGGAGCTCAAGGTCAAAGGGTAAGGTAAAATGAATGTGTTTTGAATTTGGTTTAAGAGTTTCCATTCCATAATGGATACTTTTCCCAACGCGGTTGATTTATTATAGTTACGTCACTTGTATTTTATAATTTCTGGAGACCCATATCTCTGTGCCAATCAGCAGAGAAGACAGGGATAGGGTGGAGTATCTTTCCATCTGCTAGATCAGGGTTGAGAAATATTAGATGAGTAGTGAGGAGCCATGGCCTATGTTTGTGTTAATGCATTTGATAAGAGCAGATGTCACTAGTGTCCAGCACTGCCAATTAATTCATTTGCTTATACATTTAAAATTAGGTGGTACATAATTAGCATGCGATCCAATGCAATGATCTAAATTTGCTTTCTAGCTAATTAATAACAGAGACAACTACAAGGGAATTCAATGTTGATTGTAAAACAATACCTGTAGAAACTGCTGACATAAGGAAAAAGTAAAGAATAATATAAAAATTTAGTCAACCTTATTCTGCTTCTGGTAGAACAAATGAAGATACTTACAGTCTGTCTAGGAACTGGTAAAAAAAATCTTCACGTTCATGTGTGCAGTTAAACCTGTAAGTTCTTCTCCCTGTCTGCTTGGGGAGACTTTTGTTTCATTTTTAGACGGGCTCTGGAAAGTTATTGTTAGCATAATACTAGGTTACTGTCTGCAGCTGAAGTTCATTATTAAATATGACTTTTCAGTTTTACTTGAACAAGATTTACATATTCATGATCCTTTTTTGGATATGTTAATGTAACTTGAACTTCAGAGAAATCTGGACCTTCTTTGGATTTCAGGCATTAACCTGAGACCTTGTTATTAAAAAAAAAAAAAATCCCTATAGTGAAATGTGTATTTGAGCTGACTATTATGAATTTAAGTATTGGCATATCTTTACATACAGAAGTAATTCCACTGAAGTTACTGTAGAATTTGGGCAATGCATAGATAGCAATTTTATTAAGATAAAGATTTACACAACATTATTATCAGATAAATAACCTTCTAATCAGATGAATAGCCTTCTAATTTTCAATTAAATTTCAGTGAACTTTGAAGGTAAATGTATTACTTTTCCTACTTTATAATACTGTGGTGCATTCTTCTGTATGGAAGCTCATTTTTGGATTTTTTTAATTCTTCTTTTTGACTGTATTGGAATTTTCCCCCCTAAATTTGCCAAGCTTGGTGTCACCTGTTCATCTCCAGGTTAATAAGGACTTGGAGTCTGATGGACATTTGGATTTTTGCCACTGTACTGTCTAATCTTGCTCATAGCCAGGTTGAGGTGAGTTGGTGCTAGATGCTGTACATGTGAGTGCTATGTGCCTCCTCTTTCTGCATTCATGATCACGAGGGACACTGAGCATTCTGCAATTCAGAGAGGAGAGAACTCTGTGTTTTTACTTTATTCTGTAGCTAACTTTATACTTACCAGTGGAGGCCCTCAGCCATGTCTTGATATCGGCCAGCAGTTCAGAACTGATCTAATTCTCCCACATGGAAGTCAACAGGTTGTTGCAGAGAGATGGCATTTCTGAGAAAATCTGGGGGGGAAGACTAGTGCAGCAAAGGCTTTTGATACAGCCTTGAAAGGTCGTGCCGTACTTATTCTGTAGAAGACCCCAGTGTTGTTTATAATAAGGCAGGGCAATTACCTAAATTGCCATTTTTTATAGATATGGTAATCATGCTTGGTTCATGGGTTCACTTTCATTTGGTGTTAATCAAAGAAGCTGGATAAATTGCCTAGATCTCACAAAATTAGGTCGGTTAGCCTGTTATTGTCTCTGTGTGACCCTTGTGCAATATTATCCAGCAGCAATTACTTCTATGGCAACAAATAATGATGTTATACTAATTTTATGCTGGTGTAGCTCATTTGATTCCTGTGAAGTTATGACAACATAAAATTGCTTTTAATGGGTGAAGATTCAAACCAATGATTTTACCGCAGTCTCTTTGAAGGCTAAATAAAGTCGTAATCCTAAAGGGCATAACTGCAGCAACAGCAAAGGGGAACTGGAAAATTCCTGAGAAGTAAATTGCTTTTTTGTATAATGTTCCCTTTGTTGGACTTCCTCCTGTTAGCTGAGATGCCAAACTGTTTTGCAGCTATTATACTACTAGAACTGAGATTTTCTATGTTATTCTTAGCTTAGACATCATTTCCTCATTAGTATTTACTGTTCATTGAAATATTTTAATTATAGTGGTAACCGTGCTGTAAAGTACTTAAACAGATGGCTAAATCACACTGATTTTAATGGGAGGTAAGCATGGGACTGATATTTATTGGGAGATCTCTGAGAGCTTTGCTGAACTGGGGATACTGTGATATTAGATTCAAGAAGTCCTGCAATGGAGGGTTTTTCCTTCTACTTGCTGGTAGTTGGAATCGTTTCACTTTTACAGTTCTTCTTCCTTCCTTTTTGATTTCTAGCATTCATAATTTCTGCTTTTATTGTTGAGATCAGTTGAGAAATGGTCTTTCTAATCCTCTTAATGTTTTAATTCAACAATTACTCTATAAAAGTTCTTTTTGTATTTCTGAACTTCTGCTTTTTAGTCTCTGGTTTATTTCTTTTTCATGGTTTTTAGTACCTCATTAAGAAATAGAGCATATATCCTGTCAGTTCTGTGAATTCATACAAAGATCATTTTCATAATGAAATACCCTCACTATGAAAAAAGTGAGGTTTAATAAAAATACCATGTGAAGATTGAATCTGAGTAAAAAAATGTGTTGTCTGATGATAAAACAAACTTTCTGAATATCCATAATATTTTTAAACCGGTCTGGTAACTGGTTTAAATCTACATTTCAGACTCCACACTAGGAACAGTCACCTCCCCTCTCATCAGCTTCCGGTCATAAAAGAGTGTCATAAAATATTTTATAAAATAGAAAATGGTTTCTTTTTATTTTATGGCTAGGGTTATGGTGGTTTTTTGTGTCCTCTCGTACTGTCCCACATTTGTAGCTAGCAATATCAAGAGGTTTTACTAAAAAGAACAGATTGCGTTTCTCCACCAACTCTCCCAAGCATATCATGTTGAAAGATATAGCTTGAATTGCATGTGCAAGAGAATCCAAACCGACATCGTGCTTCTGGTGAGTATGTAGACAGTAATTACTCTCTCTTGTCCTTTTGGTTCATCTCTTTCAGCCAAGAGTACAAAGTTTGGAAGCAGACTGAGACTGACCCTTGTTGAGATGTGTAGATAGAAGGGGGAAAAGTCTTCCCTTTCCCATATCCCCACGGCTACTAGCAAGGTCAGGTCACAGTTGCAATCCCTGTTCTGTCTTGTGAAGTGCAGGCCACCCGAGAGGACAGATCTACGCAGCTGCAACAAGAGAAGCCTAATATATCACCCTGAGCGGCAAGCACGCTCTGCTTAATGACACAACGTAGGGAGGGATCTCCACCGTTCTGACTCCCAACTTTGTATTTCCTGTGGACGTGACATCCTCACTGCTCGCTGTTGCCTTGTGGTTTCCTCAGGGGTATCTTCTCCTGGCCAAGCTTCTCCTTGGCAAAGAGGCTTGGTTCTTCCTTAACAGGTTAAAAAGTTCTGGAGGAAGGTCTGCTGGATGTGTTTTCCTATATGTCTGCTAGGGGTGGGACCACAGAGTTAAACTCTCAAGTGATTGATCTCTCTTGCTCAGCTGCTGCAACTAGACTGGAGTACAGAAGTATTGACCAACACTACCTTATCCTGCATGAAGACATTGGTTTGCAGCAAGATACCCCTAACTGATATAGAGAACGATTCAGTCTCAAACATTTCTTCAGCTTCCAATGACTCCTGTTCAGAGCAGAAGGGCAAAGAGACCAGCTGTGAGACACAAAGCCTGCATCTAGACTAGTCAATTAGATATTGCAAAGACATGGTTTTGAGTGTTGGCTAGCGACCTGTGCAGTCTAATGCTTATCGTTCCTCCAGTTACAACTCTTGCAGCACGTGATTTAGGGTCACATAGATCAGAAGCTATTTCCAATAGGCAGTTTAAATGCGTACTCTTTTAATGGGATTTATAGAATCATACAATTAAGGTTAGAAGGGACCTTCAGAGGTCCCATTATTTTCCTAACATATAATGATAATTTCCCCTGTTTCTACTTGTGTCTATTGATTCTTCTCCTATCACTGTGCACCTCTGAGAAGAGTCTGGTTACACCTCTTTTTCCTCTGGTCAGGTAGTTTAAACAGCATTAAGCTTGCAAGCAGAGCAAACTCACTTCTTTCAACCTTTCTTCATATGTCCTGTGCTCCAGCCTCTGACCAGCTTGGTGGCCCTCCACTGGACTTGCTCCAGTATGTCATTCTTTCTTGTACTGGGGAGACCACAACTGGACACAGCACTCCACAGGTGGTCTTAAAAGCGCTTAGTAGAGGCGAAGTAGCATTTCCCTGAACCCACAGCTGAACCTGCTGGCTGTAGTTGGCTGCCTTTGCTGCTGGGACATGCTGGTGACTTGTATTCCACCTGTTGTCCCCTAGGAACCCCCGGTTCTTATCCACAAAGCCACAGATGTGCAATTATGTATGTTGATATGACCTGCGTCACATCTTTTTGTCTAAGGACTTGTTTAATTTATGAGCAAAGCATAGTCTAACGGACACAGATACACAAGGAAAGGGGTATTACCTTCCAGATCTTAATCTCAATAGCATACTGCAAATAGTAGAGGAGAAATATGACTGATTAACAAAGGATATGCAAGAAATACATGTTTTATATTATGAAGAATTAATAGGAAAATAATTTCAGGCTATCAGCTTGTAGATGGCACTGGTAGTTTCACAAGGAAGAGAGGAAATGCTAAGTCAGCATTATTGTGTGTTAAAACAGAACGAGCTTATTTGGATTAAATAAAGGCTGTGTGTTATGACCAATGTTTCAAAAAAAGCCCCCACATTTCTGCTCTTTTTTTGAGTCACCTTTGATTTAAAATAGCTCATGTTGGTGCAAAATCTTTTGTAAGCTACACCTGAGATTAATACACTGAGATAATTTTTAGCAATATTTCTCCGATAGTCACAGTGGTTTATCTTGAGAGAAGGAACTTTTGTTGTTTTAATTTTTCATCTGAAAAATGAAAAAAAAAATTAAAAAATAAAAAAAAAATGAGGCAGTCATGGGTCCCAGGCTGCAGTAGTTTTTTAAAGGCTGTACATGAAAGTCTTTCAAGCCTGGGCTCAGCAGCTTTAGTTAAGATTTTGCCTGTATCTAGTCCTACTTGAAAAATCACTTCTCCACAAGTACCCCAAACAAATTCCAGGCTACCGAAAGCTAAAGAGTTTATAGCGAGGTCAGCAGCAGTCTCCACTGACTTCAGCAGTCCTGAGCTTTACAGGGATTTGGGTGGTGCCTACATTCTGTGATGCCATTTGTATTCTGGCAAATAAAACCCCTTATAAAAAATTTTGTCGTAGCTACACTGTTTCTCCATAACTGTTTTTCATGCTATTAGCAGAATACGTACTGATTTTAAATTAACCTTCCAAAATAATACACATCTTGATTCTAAAGCACCCTACATCTGAGGCCACACATCAAAGTCTGTCCCATCCTGTTCTTGGATGTGCAGCTCCACAGAGGAGGCTCAGTGGCTCTGTACAGAGTCATTTGTATCCTGGATGTGACTGCATCAGAGAGAATGTGCTGTCATGCTGTGTAATCCCCCCTAGTTGTTCTGGAGATGGTTAAGCAAAGAGGAGACTTTAATAAATAGGAGAGTGAATAATGTCTTTAGAGCTTCAGTGCTCTGAATACAACTTTGTGAATTCTTACAGTGCTCTAGTTTCTTTTGCATTACACAGACCAAAAATAATGGGAGAAGGAGCCAGAAGAAATACATTCCCAGTCTTCCTGCCAATTTCCTGGTACCTACTAATCTCTGCTCACTACTCACAAGTTCAGAATGAGTATCAGATCCGTTCTGGCCATCGGATGGTCTGAGTAACATCATTTGCAAATCCTGTTGGCAGTACAAACAAATATCTCTGGTCTTTTACCTGCATGAGAGAATAGGTATTGCCATACTCCTTCTTGAACCAAACCTCACTTTGACTTCATTTATAAATAGCAATTTTCACATCTAACAAATACAGTAGGAGGCGATTTTTTTGTGGCCAAGCGATACAGACACAGTGCCAAGAGAAATGAATCCTAGGAGACTAGAGAGGAGATGATTCTCGAGCAGCCAAGAGTAAAAATATTGCTCAGAAGAAAGAAATTGTGAAACATACTCAAAATGTAATTCTGGTCATACTGTTAGTTCTACTCTTTGACTGGGATGGGAGAAGGGAGGGACATACAACATTATTTTTCTTTAGAAGTTTGTGTAAATCCACACTAGATCTTAGAAGTCGGTGGAAAGGTCTACATTTCCCTCCTCATAGTTAAATTAAGCCCTTCAGAGAGTCCAACCAGTTTTCATCCTGCTTTAGGACTGATCAAAAATAAATGCAGATTTTAAATCTTTGCTTTAAAAAGTGAAATGTACTTGTAAATATGAAGGTTTCAGTTTTTCTGAAGGTTTTACTGTTACAAAAACAAGTCTAGTTTGCGTTATCTTTTAGGGACTTCCATGTTGTTATAAAACTGTGAATAGCTATCATGGAATTTTGTAAAACATTGTTCGCAACTAAATACTTCTTCCAGAGAATATCAGAAGCTCTATTTTATACTTTTTGATGCATTTCAAAGTTCCTTATACCATTCTCTGTTTCCTCCAGAAACACCAATTTTGAAGACTGAATACACCTTTCTTTGCAAAATTATTTAATTGAGCTAGGCTTGGAATCTTTTCTCCATATATGTCTTAAAACTACTGTGATAAAGACAATGCTGGTATCTTTATTTCAATGCCACTTAGCTGTTCCATTTGCTGTACTTCTTACTGTGATAGGGGAGCTGCTTTGGTTCTTGAAGCTTCAGGAACCATCTGGCTACACTGTGAAATAGGAAAGTATTTCCTTATCAAGTCTAAGGATGCATAGATGACATAATATGAGTTGACTATATGTGGCTTATTTTATCATCGAAACGCCCTTCTGGTGGAATTTTAAAAAATCCTTTCCAGGTACATGGCAGATAATATTCCCCAGCCAGTTTTTTTATGCCATACGATAGTAGGTTTGAATCATAGTTTCCAAATTATATAGAGCCTAAACCTAGTAGTTCATGCTATATTCATTACTAAACCATGTCAGAAATAAAGTTTCAGGAAAAAAAATGCAAAATGAAAAGGATGTGGATTTTTTTTTTTTCTGAAACTCTATGAGATACCGAGGCCTAGAATGTTCTTTACTGTGTGTGTCAGCATTAACACTTTCAAACTCTTTCTTTCCTTCTACTCTCACCTCTGTATTCTGGTCCTGAGCCTGAGATAAGATCATATTTTTCTTTTTTTAGGCTGCATAGTAATTTAAGAATTGACTTATCACCAGGCTGTTCAGAAACCAATGCTTTATAGCATGTGGATACAAAATGTGCATCTTGGTTAATTTGTGAGAATACTTTATTAATAGTGTATTTTCTTCTACATCTGGTCAGTCTTTTTTCTATGATTTGCTTGCTTACCAGTTTCCAAGTTATCTTTAGCTTTTGGCTCTCATTTCTGGAAGCTCTGAAGCACGTTCATAATGTAAACCACATGAGCATTCCTGCTGGTTCCTGAATCAGGACCTCGGTGATAGCTCGTACATATGTACGGTTTTGCTGGGCAGAGAGAGACTCTCAATTGCCATCTTTCAGCACTTAATCAGCGGGACTGTGAATAGTTGCAACCAGTGAGAACAGATGTAGAAGCGTGACCTATCTCTATTGTAGGGAAGTCTGATAGCAAATGCTCTCGTTTATCTCGCTATAGTAGTGTTGTAAGTGAAATTCAGTCAGAGGTGAAAATTGCCAGTGTAAAGAGGTTTTGTGTTGCTGCTTCTTACCTCTGAAGTATTGTGGGACTAGTTGGATTATTTTTTTTTAATATCGGCAACACTGTATCTCCTTTTCAGAAATAAACCCTCCCCAGGGCAAATAAGGGAATTTTCTTCTAAGAAACCACTACCACCGGTTATTAATTTAAGGGAAAAAAAAGGAAAAAAAAGTCTTCTAGATTAAATGGAACAGATTCATGAAGTACATATAAAAAGCTGATGAAATTGCATATATTTGTCTTCTATAGGGTCTTCCTGGCAAAGATGGACCCACAGGCCCACAAGGACCTCCTGGCCCAATGGTGAGTATTGTCCATGGAATTTGTTACTGTAAAAGTCAGCAGAATTTTGGGGGATCGCAGGTCACTCTGTTATCTATCTACAGTGGACAGGCAAAGGCCAAGGGCTCTCCTTGGAAGTTAAAATTCTCGTGACACACAGGGTTGGCAGAGAGCTGCTTGTCCACTGTCATTTCTTTCCACTCTTACTTAGCTCAAGAAAAAATGTCTCCTATGGGAAGGGGAGACAGTTGTTCCATCAATAGATTGATAGCTTGTTCTTAGTCAAGTAATTGCACTATATAAAGGGAATTAGTGCTCTTAACATTTGAAACAGGACTTGCTTTTTGTAAGAAATTCCAATTAGGATTGTTAGTTGAAGTGAACCGCCAAGTTTTGCTTGGTCTGGAGGCTGGAGGTGAGTGCAGGTATTCAAATGATCTCATAGAGTAATCAAGGAAGGCAGCAGAGGCCACGTTTGGCCTTCAAAGCAAGATGTATGTGGCCTCCAGAATCAGTCTCATCCTTCTCAGCTAAGGCAGCTAGGCAAAGTTAACGCCTTCTTGATAGATTTAAGACACTAGGTGAAACTGCTGATGGTATTGACTATTCTCCAAGCAATCTTGTTCTTTTTACAAAGAATGTTCTGAGTCATCCCCCCTGAACACAGTGGTAACGTTGGTTCAGCAATCTGTGCCTGTTTCAGAAAGCAAGCAACACAAGTCCATTTTTCTTGAGTGCTTTTCTTAGAGCTGTGCTTTTGGTGCTCTTTTTCCTGCAGCATGTACTTCTTAGTCCTCTCTTCCAGCATCTTGTCTTTGACTTGCAGAACTGCCTGTGTACTCTCTGCTTTGTGAATTTCTTCTCCATCACACAGTTATTTCTCCCATCAGGATTCATGGATGTTGATTGCTATCTCCACTAAGTCTTTTCTTTCTCTTTTTCCATGTAGGGCATACCTGGTAGTCCAGGTGTTCCAGGTGTCACTGGAAGCCAGGGGCCGCAAGGTGATGTTGGAGCTCCTGTGAGTAAAATGAATTAATATTATTATATTTGCTGTTGTGGATTAATTGGTTTCTGATCCTGGCTTCACTGTTCTACAGATCTCCTCAATATTTATAGCTTATGATCTGTTTGCAGTTAGTGGCTAAGCGAAACATCATATTGGTCTGTCTTTGTTCATTCTTCACAATTAACTTTATTTGTTGAACTTGCACACAATGTTTGGAATAAAGGGATTAGAGAGTCAAAACACAAGATTAAAACACAGAAGTTAAGAACATAACAGTATGTGAATTTGTAGTCTGTAATTACTTTCTCCTTTTTTTCGTTTGCACTTCAGGCAACTCTCAGGAAATTAAAGTATGCCATTTCTTAACCTGAATACTTCCAAAACATTATTCTGATTTTCAAACTGTAAAAATACTGCATGAATAAGAAAACTGGCTTTCATGGTTACTCTGGGTTTACATTAGAGCAACTGACTAATGATCAGGGCTTTTTCTACAATATTATAAATTTGACCATTGGTTTCATTGAGTGGAAAATTACACCCTCTATACTGAAAATAAGTATTAGGAACCTCTAATACTAAGTTTGTCTTCCAGGTATTATTTTCTTTATTATATAAAAACCAAAAGAGTTTAACTAGAAAAAAGGAATACAACTATAAAATGAGTGTGTAAATTACATCCAGTGAACCTCTTTTTCTCTGTAACAGTTCAGATAATATTGTGTATTCACATTTTAACATTTGACCACTTGGTTAATTATAAAACCTGCTCAGGTGTTTTTATAGTTTTAATTTTTAAAGGCATCAGAATGTGATAGTGTGTACTTCTGACTCAATTTGTAGAACAGAATTTTTTTCCTCAAAATCCAGTTTGCTTTGGAGATTTAGTCTAATGCAAGCATTTTTATTTGGTTAAGTGGAAACAAAATGACTGATAATATATAAGCAAAGATAATAACCTAATGCCCAGTTCTGCATAGTTTCTAAGTTTAATCATGAAATCTACTAAGGAGATTTGATGAGCTATGGAACTCATTACTATCAATGTATAACATGCTGACTATTCAGTTCCTTTCCAAACACATGTTCCAGATATTGAACTAGATTTCCTAGAGTGTAGATATTCCTGTGAGTCATATAAGACCTGTGCTGTGAATGTTTGGACTGTAGTAGGTCTGAAAACAGCTAGACAGGTAAAAAATTATTGAGTTTCAAGAACTGTCTTTCCCAAAAGGTAGAGTAATATAAAAGAGGCCTAGCTATAATCTTGCAGTTGGTAGAAGTTTCTTCTTCCCCAGGATAGAATAAGCTGTGCTTTAACCATGCATCAGTTAGCTGGTTACCTCTTCGTGCAGACCTTTCCTCGCTTCAGGAGCTCCTGAGAGATGTCTAGCCTTCCCCAAAAACCTCCATTGGTGAAGCTGTAACAGCCCTAGACAACTTGTTCCATTCCATAATGATCCTTACCATTATTACAGTATTACATTATATTTAATGTCATACTTAATTTTCTGTACAGTTTAATCCCATTGCTGACTGTTGATAGCAGATGCAGAGCCTCAGTGCAGCAAATGTTGCAATTTTCAGACCAATATTTTGTCTCCCATCAGGCTTCTCTTCCTTATACTCAGTGATGATTAGACCCATTTCAGCCATGTGAAATGCATCACCTGGTGGCCTGCCCTTGCTGACATTTTAAACAAGAGAATTCAGTGGGTGACAAACCCCTGAGAGTCATTGTCACCATGTAATTGCCAAAGGTGACCATTTTGTTGAGTAATGAAATGGAAAACATAAATTTGTTATTGTCAACCTCCTGAAACCACGTGCCTTGTTTGGTTTTTCTCTTTTTACTGTGATGCTGCAAGAGAAACAACGTTTAGGCATTAAAAATCTTGAGCAAGAACAAAATGAGAATTAATTTTGCATTGAATCTTTTCACAGGGTCCTCCTGGAGCTAAGGGTGAAAGGGGTGAGCGGGTAAGTCTGTGTTCACGTTCACCACCATTTTTTTTCCTGTCTGTCCTTCTGTCTCTTAAAAGGTTTCTCCGACAACTTATGTTTCTCTGTGTTTGCAGGCACAATAGTTTTCTCTGTGCAATCAGGCAAACATTCCTTCTTTTCCAGACATTCTCATATATACAGCTACAGTAATGTTTTGAAGGTGAGAAGTATGTGGCATTAAGCATGTCCCCAAATCTCTCACTAGGGTTATCTTCTCCAACCTCCATTTGCTGGCTAAAAACAGTGATGGGAACCAGTTTTGGGTTTTTTTTCTCATCTGTGAGGATATAATCTCTCAGGGATAATAAATGTCTTTCATTGCTCTAAGCATTTTCAAGACAGAAATCATGCAAAAACCTGTGTTGTGACACTGCTGCTGTTCTTATCCAGGGTGATCTCCAGTCCCAAGCGATGGTGCGTGCTGTTGCTCGGCAAGTGTGTGAACAACTCATCCAGGGTAAGAACATCAATAGTTCGTATGCTTCTGTCTCTAGAATGGATCTTCTCCTGCCACAATTACATACAAATACAATGCTTTTCAGAGCATCCAGGGGGATCTGTTCATTTTAATGTTCAAATGGATTTATGTACAATTACAGCTGATTAGCATCAGGCAGCTAAAAAAAGCCTGAATTGTCTTCAATCTATTATAGTATACAGAAGCTTCTGCTGTAACAATTTTAAATTTTTATAGACATAAAATACAAAAAAAACCATCAAAGCAAGGAAATAAAGTTCTACACAATAGTTCTCCCCCTTTTCTGTGTATTCCCTAAACCACTGTTTCTCCACCAACAAGCACAAAACTTCATATTATCAAAGCACGACAGACCACAGCCTTGAGGACCTGCCAGTGCTCTGTTCAAACTTCGACGAACCAGATTCTCCACTGCAACTTGAAAACGAGGACATTTTTTTCCTGACAGGTCATATGGCAAGATACAACTCAATTCTGAACCAGATTCCAAGCCAGTCTGTCTCAACACGAACCATCGCAGGACCTCCTGGTGAGCCAGGTCGGCCAGGGGCTCCAGGGCCACAGGGAGAACAAGGATCACCAGGCATGCAAGGGTTTCCAGGAAGTCCTGGTCAACCGGGAAGACCAGGAGAAAGAGGTAGGCTTCATGCTTTGCATACAAAAAGATATACTTCCCTTTCCTGATACATTCTGATGGCTTTGTGTCCTATCTAAATGTGAGAACAACAGTTTTCTCACTAGTTGATTGGTGAGCTCAACACAGCCCATCATGAAAGCTCTGGAGACTCCCAGTCATGAAGGCAATGCAGACTTTGCCAAGTGAGATTTGGCAGAGGTTAAATGCCTGAACTGCTGACAATTGGTGGCATCTAATTGGGCACATCACATCACATCATGCTTTCATCTTAGTAGGACTCTGAAGTATGCTGGAGCTGTAACTGTATAAGCAAAGCAGCTTTTGGGAAAAGCAGCTGCTAAACTGACAGAATCATGTTGGGGAAAGATTGAGCTTTTCTGCTAAACTTGAAATGCCTCAGTCTCAAGATTTCTAAGTTGTGATGGTCTGAAAGGAGCAAGGTTGATAAGAGGGAAAAAATCCTAGTTTATGAGGTGTTGAGATGATCAAGGAGAAGAAATGATGAGGTCAGAGAGAAGGAATACAATTAACTGTTCATTTACAGTAATTCCCCTCTGTATTCTTCTGTGTATGCTAGATCCCTTTCTTCTTTCCTCCTCCAGCATTGTCAAACAAAGAAACAAGCTCCATGTTTTGATTTACTCTTTGTGCAACCCTGGCAATCTTTGGTGTAGCAGAGTAGCACTAACAGAGGTAGTACTGAGCGGATCTATGATTGTGAAAGTGCTTTGAAGAACATCACTTGAGGAAGTGACCAAAAACCTGAGAGACAAATGTGATATTCAAGAGTGATGAATTGGTGTTGCTGTTAGCAATTCATTTTTAAAATTGCATTTTAGATTTTCTATGAAGGCTGTTCCATTCAGGAGCTTAATAGTTCCAGTTCACAGTAGCCATGATGACCAGAGTTAAAGCATTGTTTTAAAAAGAAAGTCTTGGAGTGAACCTGTGAGTCTGTGGGTCCTTTTTTCCCTTCAAGACTGTAATTCTAATTACCTTCTTGAAAAAAGAGGCAAGGTTTAGGGTACTAGCTTCTCAGTCATGCTGCTGCCTGCTTCAGCTGAGCAAAGACCAGCCACTGTCCAGAAAGAGGGAGGGATGAGGGGGTGGGAGGCAAGTAGGAAATAAAATTGGAAGAGACAGCAAGCGAGGAACCGACTTCATAAGTGGTAACCCGGAGAGACTGAATGTGGATTTGAGGGTAGTTGCTTAAAATACTAGTGTATTTTAAATAGCTTCTCAGGCAGCAACTGTTAAAATACATGGAACATTTTGCTGGGGCTTCAGGAATGGAGGAACGAAAATGCCAGGCTACAAAAAGGGAAACCTGTCCAGCATTTAGCATGTATTTTCCACTGTATTTCTTGTGCTGAGGCCCAGACCCACGTGTTGTACTACTGTGAACTCACAGAGTGATTAGATATAGTCATCTAAATGAAACGTGATGTGGGTTAAGCCACTGCTGATAATATTAATATCCGGGAAACAGCATTGGCAATAGAGTGAGTACAGAAAGGGTAAAAGCACATTGAAAAAGAGTATTATTCTTTTCCTGTCTCTACAGAAAACTGATGTTAGAAGGGACTGCTTTTGGCAGGTAGTGCTTGTGGGGAGTTTCATGCTTGGTAGAGAGCTAGCACTTATCAAGCATACTTCAAGGACTGTAATCAGTCAGCCAGGGCGCTCTGCAGATTTTCATAAAGTGCGATGCCAAATGTTGGGAGTGTTTTACAGTGTTTATAGCTTAAAATGAGATTGTTTTAAGAAAAGAGAATCTATATATAAACTTAAAGACAAAAAAATTGGCTCTATTTGAGTGAAAATGGCTTTTAGGATATTCACATAACTGGAGCCTTGCACAGAACCTGGAAGGAAGAGGAAGGAGCTCATTCAGAACCTAAGGAAAAAAAAAAAAAGCCAGAATAATTTATTAGTCCTTGAGCATTTAATTTCTGCAGAAGCAACTGAAATTTTAGATTGATAGCGTGCCTGATGTAGTAGCAGTTTATTTAACAGAAAGATAGCTTTTGAGTTGTACAGACCCTTGGGATACTTCAGAATCCATTCCTAAGGAACTGCTCTGAGCTAACCCCAATATGTGGCAGTGAAAAGTAAAAATTATTTTTACCAGCTTCGTGCTTGTGGAGATTGATTGGAAGTTTCTTGTGTGTTCCCAGTTCTCACTTGATTCCTAACTAGGTATCATACAGTGAAGCAGCAGACTAAAATTCCTCTGCTTCTGGACAGGAGGGGTTTTAGTTTCCAGTGAATACAGAGAGGAGGGTAAATGGACTCGGACCCCATCCCTTGCTGTGTTCTCAAGCATTGTTTGTATTTAACTTGCTCAGCAAGTCACAATGTATGGTGCTGTCCTGAATATCGCCAGCCAGCCACTTGAAGTCTTTATGAACAATGTGTTTCTTTTCGCCGATGTCACCAGCATTTTGATTGTGTATGAAATCAATTTAATGTTCAAACCAGTGCCAGATTAGCAACTCTGAAAAGTCAGTTTCCCCCTTAAGTACAGAAAATACACTGCAACAGTGACAGCAGTGTCCATAGAGTGTACTAAAATGTGATAGACATTGGAAGGGAAAAAAGACTGGTTTGTTTATTTAGCTGCCTTGCTTTTTATTTAGAGTGTTGCTTTTTCCCCCTCAAACTATTGGAATTGCTGCAAGAACCTGTTACTGGCTCTGAGCTGAATGGCAAGGTGCTGGTAGAGTGGGAGGAGAAAAGGTAGGGGAGGCTAGACGTTTCCTCCTGCTCACCTCTTGTCCACCGCCCAGTCAATCCCAGCCCGTGATATGAGGAACTTCTGAAAGCGGCGCGTGGAACTGGTTAGACATCATGCACCAGAGAGCGCTTCACTGGAAAATGTCGGCAGTGAGAGATCTTGATGTCTGTGAACTTCCCTGCTAACTTGCCCAGCTAATAGCTGCTTTTCCCTTGTTTACCATGTCACTCTGCCAAGCATTCATCAGATGTTTTGGAAGGAGGCTTGGATTGAGACAGCGCCCTGGAGTTTTGCTAGAAACCTCCGTTTGAACTTCTAGGTCCAGGGTGTCCCATTCCTGCATGTATTCTCTCACTAGTAACACACTGAGCTGGCCCTTCCAAGAAAGACCACCTCAGTGCAAAAGGATAAGTCATTCTCGACAGCTTCAGTTCTCAGTGTCTCTTGCCAGCTGAGATCTATTTTTTCCAAAGTAGATGTAAGTGAACGGATCAGGATCACACTAAGATGTTTGTTATTTAGTTTCGCCAGTTGATTATTATTTTAGCTGTACATTGTGGGGTCTTATCTGTTGTATTTTTCTAATGATGTGAAAAGAAACATCTCTGGCAATCTCAATATTTGTTAGCAATATTAACTTTTATTGGTGCCCCAACAGGCCATTTGAATTGGACCAGTCATTTAAAGATTAAGGAGGATACCTTGTGTTATCAGTCCCCTATAGTACATAATCCCAGATAAATTACTAAAATTTTACTCACATATTTGCATAAATATAGGAGTTTGGGAAAAAAAAAACCAAATCCAAACACTGGTTATTCACAGCACTCATCTCTATCTTTGTTTTAACTAGTGCACAGCACTGGTTTCTTTTTTTATTTCAGCTAGTTTGAACATCCTTTGTTTTGATTTTATGTTTATGAACTGGGATTTAAATAATTAGTATCTGGCTTCTGAGGGCTCAAGAAGTAATTGAACTTCTGCAAAATAATATAAAAAAGCAAAGATTCAGCATGGTTTTTTCTCTTTTTTTCCAGTTATTTTTATAATACATGGGTAGTTTTCTCAACTTTGAGGTAAATGTAAAAGCCACAGTAAAAATTGTGCTGAGGCACTGCTAGCTTTCAGATGCTGTGAAAATGCAGTTGTTCCACTACTGGGTGGACTTCTGCTCTCATGATGTGGCCTGAAGTGATTCACAGAACTTATGGCCACTCGCTCCATCCCACTATGATTAAAATATAATAAATACCGAAGCTGTCACTGGGAAAGTCGCTATTCTCAAGTACAGCTTCATCTGAAGTACAGCTTTCTGGCTTCATATGAAAGAGTTAGTTAAACGTGTGTTATCAAAAGCCACATGTTAACAGCTCTGATGGCAAAATTCCAGTGGAATTAAATGGAACTTTTGCCAGTTCAGTCAATTAAATATTTTTATTTCCAATTTTAGCTTCATCTGGATAAAAAATATCACCCTGTGTTGTTATACATTATAGTTATATCTTTGAAAGAGGACATTTTTGGTAGCAGTTTAATTTTTTTTAATTGCAACATGCAGTTCTCCTCAAAGGACAATATTCTCTTAAAGACAAAAATAGATAAGCAATACCTGAGATTTTCTTTCGTGCAGAAACTATGGACATTTAATTTTCTTTGCTAGAGAATGTGTTCATGATCTTGGTTTTGTTTTTAATAACTGATGCTATCAGAGGTATCTTTAGCAGAGCACTGGAAATAATTGATTTCAGTTGCTTGTAATCTCCATGGGGCTGAACCCAAGCCATTGCTTATTTTGGATGAGGACAAGACATAAAAAAGTGGTTAGCATGAAGGGGGAGAGACAGTTTGATGGTATTGCTGAAGCACATCCAGAGCGGAAATATGAAAACAGTTACTAGAATTTGAAGCCACTGTAACTCAAATGACAAATTTTGATACACACTTTTATCCCTGAGTGATTAACTATTGCAGTAACTTACATGGAGAGTGATGTCTTGTCTGGTTGACTTTCTGTAAGCTATGCTCTAATGAAATGCAAAGGTGACCTTGATAGAAAGCGAAATGGGTGAATTTTGAATGTTCTGTCATTTATAGGAGGGAGCCATTACCTATGACCAAGAACTCCGTAAGTCTGTTAACTTACTCTCATTAAAGAGCTATGGTGGAAAGTCCATTAGGGAAGCCCATGGAGCGCTCAACTTTTACTCATGTGAATTTTGCCTTAGGAGTAGGGTATTTGTACTTCAGTGTTTATGTTCTCTTTCACTTGGGTAAACATTACTGAAAATTAGACTGAAAGAAACCCAAAGCAGATTTGTATCTTGGCCTTCAGCATGTTTGCTTTAGGAACTTGATATCCATGTGATTTCAAAGAAGGTTTGCTCTGCACAAGAGCTTCATAACTTGTTCCAGAATGAACATTTTATTCTTAGCCTGAGTAGATTTGTTCCATATTTACAATTTCTTACTGCAGTTTATTCTGTGACGTCATGTATGGGTGTGTGTTCTTGTGTGTGTAAAGAATAATAATTGAGTGCGTGGAGGGCCACGATTTGAAAACATCATGGCAATTGCCTTTGAAGTCACTATGTAATGTTATTGTACAGCAGGATGAGCAATGGTCCTTGTACTAAACATCTGTGCAGATGTCAGACGGTTATCATGGGCCAGTCTTCTTATGATCAAAGCAATCCACAGACTTTGCCTTCTACAAATGGCAAGCATTTCCTTTCAGGGCATGTATGGTAAGAGACAATTTAGATGACTTTACCTCATTAAAAGGCCTGCAGCAGCAGTAGTGAACTGCAACAGAGGAGTCTCTCTGTATACCTGAAGCAAGCCAGGGCTAAGCAAATTTTAGGTATCTGGAAACTGCATTTGGAAAGCAGGACAATAGGTTTGCCTGAGAACTTTGTCTTTATGGGTGGAATTCAGTTGTTGATCACAGATGACACGGGTTTTTTGGCAGGTTCTCCCAGGAATATAAATATAGGTTAGAGCATGGGTCTGCCTCCTAGGACTCCTTCCTACATGCACTATGCAATGCAATGATTCATCACAGGTTCTGGATAGCACCTCTGACTGAAACTGCAATCTCTGAACAAATGCTAGATTGCAAATGGGAGGTTCATAGTGGACTTAGAAGACAGTCTCTGAGAGCAGGAATCACGTGTATTACTTTGCTAAGAAGCGCAGAAGAAAAGATGTTAGCAAATTTCAAGATGCCTAAGTAATTTAAACACTTAAGACCCAGTGTGATTTAGGAGCTAGGGCTACCAAAAGCTATGGATGTAAAATTCCTGAAACTTATCTTTTGGACACTTCGTAATCTGAAAGTCTAAAACAGCCTGAACAAGACCAATAGGTACCTCGTACAACCACGAGGTAAGGTAGGGGTACTGCAGTATGTTAGCCTGCAGTCAGACACAAATTTTCTCTGCTGCTGTTCTGAGATCACCAAAGGGGTTGTATTAACGGTGCTGAGCCCTTCCTTAGCAACAAGGTTGTGTTAGCTCAAGGCTTCCCCTTCATCAGCCTGGTCACATTGCTTTTAGTCGTCTTGTATTTTGGCCAGAGGTTGCTCATTGTCTACTTGCAAAAGGCCGGTAGGAACTAATTTAGTTGTAAGAGAAAGCTGTGGTGTACAAGATAGAAAATACAAAGATCGGATGTGAAGGAGGCTTGATAGAAGAGATGGTGGTGCTAGTTCCTCTCCAGCTTTTCTCCAGTGGCTAAATGGTTAGAGCATAATTTCAGAAATTTGAAGCTGCATTCCTTTCCTACCTACTACCAGCACTGGGAGAAGGTCTTGTGGTTCAGTTTGATAAATATATTCCTCTGTGTTTTGGATATTAGATCTTGGAATAAGTTCTGAAACAAGGCCTCCCTTTCCCGGGTAAGTTTTTGAGCAGTTAGGCTAGAGAGCCATCTTTTTGGCTTAATGCATCCTGAGGTGGTAGTCAGAACCACTGAGTAGGGGAAAACATACAGTCACGTATCCAAGCCACATCATCAGGATTGTCTACACTTGAACATCCAAGATTTCTGGATTTCAGCTACATGCCATCATCTAAAAATCTCAAAGCCTGCATGTGGGATGGGTCTTAGCATAGGAGAGATGGGTCTCAGCATGGCAGAACCATGTTGTGCTGCTGTCCGCACTGTGGAGTGAGCTCTGGACTTCTCCAGGGTCTCAAATATACTGGGAAATGGAAGGGTGCTAGAGAAGGGGAGTGGAGACCCCTGAAATCCTATTGTCCACAGCCCCCTGAAACACTACTGGCCTCTCACCCAGACTACAGCTAGTGAAAACGAGTGGGATCATGACACTGATATTTAAATCTTTCAGTGTGCATGTGTTTACCTATTTCTCTAGGTAGATAGATAGGTAAAATGTGTGCCCTGGTGAGGCAGCTCTGGGAGCTGTTCCTAAAGGGATACAGTCGTGGCGTGCCTCCCTTCAGCTTTTCTTCTGTATTTAATTGTGACCACCTTCATGGTCTGGCTTCTGTAACCTGTCCTAAAGGCCTAACTCTCTTCAGGTGCTCTAGAGCGAGTGTAGGTGCTTAACCGTGTCATGCACATCAGACTTGGCTTCATTCTGCTGCCAAGGCGTTTATGCCCTTTGACAAGGTGGCTTTGTGGCAGCTTGGGTGGTTACAGATCATTTTGAGAATTTCCCTAAGATTTTAAACAGCGGAGGAGGTGCTCACTTTGCCTTGAGTGTCATAGTTAAGCACAGGTGAAACCATGAAACCAACAAAGGAGAGCCGAGCCCGTGGTCACAAGAATTCACAAGAATTCCTTGACCATCACTGTGAAGCATCCCTGGAAGTCAGTGTGAAGTGCCAGTCATGGGATAACAAGCTTATCTGATCAGGAATCTGGCTACTGAGCGTGATACAAGCAAGAATTTGCCAATAAGCCCGGCAGGTGATTCAGAAAATGAAGAATTATGGTTATCAAATCAACATGTTTTAGAGGCATGAGCTAGAGTCTCCAGGTCAGAACACATTCTGGGGTACACTCTGGCCCTTGTGTTCCTACACTGGTCAGAGGAACATTCGGTAATGCTTCTAATGTGGCGACATCGATAGGGAGGAATGTTAGATTCAGAAGAAACTGATGCAGCTTTGTAGTCATCAAATGACTAAACAGTCGGGACAACCAAACACAAAGATGTCACTTTTAGTAGCAGTTATATAAATATTCTGGTATCCATAAATTTGGGGATGAGACATACAAGACCTTGCTCTGTCTTGCCCAATATCCTCTGGAAGCAGGAAGAAGGTACCTGCTGTTTGCAAATTAATGGTATAAACATCACCCAGATTATCACACCATCTCTCTTTTGCCACTTTCTGCTAATTTACTTTGGCCATGGTGTTTCTTCTCTTGGTGGCCAAGTCTCTGCTGTAAAATACAGTGTTGCTAGAAACGTTTGGAAAGCATAGGAGACACCCTAATGGGAAATGTGAAAAGGAGCTATGGTTGTATAATTTTGCTATGAGAAAATAACTGGTCACTAAAAGACATTTAAAAAACCCAAACAAACACCCTAACCAGAAAAGCCCCGATATTGTGTAATCAAAGGAAATAAAAGGGAAACAGGAAATAATACCTAAATATGCCAGAACAGTGTCAAAAAGCCTTGTAGAGGTAAGACAAAGAGCTTGTCATGCTTTGGTTAAAAACAATGGGCTCAATATGGAGTGATTGATGGCAGTGGTGTGGCCTGTATGTTCCAGGTGATTGGGCTACCTGATATATTGCCCTTGAAGCCACCTGGTCAGTACAAGACCTAGAATGCCTCAGCAGATACGGAATCCCCTGTAATTCAGCAAACTCTTATTTTGTAAACTTGATGTGAGCAATTCTTTGTCAGTGATGGGTTTTAATTACAATTTTTTCCACAGTTAGAGCTTGTTCTTGCTTATTTGCTTCCATCAGAAATTAACTTAGGATGGAAAATAAAAGATCTTCTATGGCTACTTGCAAAAATGAGGTGTCCTCCAGATGTTTTTCTTTAAGAGTTAACAGTTCCCTGAGCAGAAGGGAAGGAAGGAGGGCCAGTCAGTTGAAATTGTAGATACTGCCCCATCAAGGGCAGCAGCTGTTTTCTTTCTACTTTGTTTTTATGAAGGTGCTCTATATTGGCTTTGACTCTGAAAGTGTGGAACCTGTGAAGCAGTGAGAGCAATTACCAGTGCTGGGAGGTCTGGAAAATGGGGGGAAAGTCCCACAAACCAGCCTGGATTTGGTGTCTTTGAACCATCCAAATCAAACATAAACTTTATGAGACTTTCCAAGTCGCTGGTGGAAACTCAGGGTCTGGAATTTGTAGTTTTGACACCTACTTTAGTTCAACACCATTCGTTGTGATTGCCGCGTATAGAAAGTGTTTTTATGGGATGCCATAGTGGTAGTGCAGAAGGAGATGGAAAGCTGGAAGAAGGTTGTGCCTTCTCTGGATTTCTAGATCTGTGATCTCCAGGGATCAGACCCAACGATAGAAATTTAGGGCCATGAGCAAGCGCAGGAACACAACTTGATGGCTGTGCATGTTGGAATGTCTGAGTTTTGTGACTAGGAAGCTCTGAGATTGGGCTTCATTTGGGTGAATGGCTTTCGGCTGTGCTGCAACTCCTTCCATTTTAGCAAGACTCTGCAATCACCCACGATAACTCTGTTTATGCATAGACCCATTTTATGCTGAACCACTGTTTGGTGGGTCAAAGTTCAAAGGAAAATTTGCTGTGGCATTGAAAATTTGACGCTTGGCCACACAGTAATTTGTGGAGAGCTTTGTGAGGTTCTGAGGATCTTCTGACTTACAGTAGTTGTACCTTGGTATAGTCCAGAGGCAGCTTTCCAGCAGGAAGTGCAGCCTGGAAACTGGCTGATGCCTCTGCATACCACCTCGATGGAACTGCCATGGCAGCCGGGATGCTTAAG